CATCAAATATGTGTACGCCACAATTCATCATTCGATTTGTATGAGGGCTGGAATACTGCCTGGGTACCAAAACCGAAACAGGTGGTTTTCTTAGGAAGACACACCCGGAGCCTTTAATTTACAGGTCTAATCCATAAGGCAGTGGAGCAACATCAGGAGATGCAATACCATGATAACCGGTGACCAACAATAAATCCATACGCCTTTTGTTTCCTCAGGATCCTGGAGTCATGGGATTGGAATCAGGGTTTTTCAACTCCCCTAGGTGGATGCTCTATATCCACTGACCCCGTTAAAGCGCCGGACATTTGCTTTTTATCCTCTCAATTTCGTAAACAACACCCTCGCCTCGGGAAGGTAGTGAGTAAGACTTCCTTGGTAGTGCCTGTATACTCGTGACCATGTGAGGTTATTTCGAAAGAGGAAGCTAACTCGTCCCACCTTTGGCCATACCAGGGCATTTAGAGGCACTAGGTGGCCTTGTGTTTAAGCGTTCCAGCGAAAGACCTTGGCTTTGATCCCCTGTAGTGTGTTCGCCGTTGCGCACTGTTGATTTGCCTTGTTTTGGGACGAAACAGTTGCCTAATGCTTCCAGGTGTTCAACTGTAGTTATACTAAATCAGTTCGCGACTCAAACTATGAAAACTTTATGTATTGTCGCTTCAAATTAATGTTCGTAATTTTTATTCAGGACCATATATGATGTCTTTGTTGTTTGTCCATTCTAAGTGGGTTTCCTAGATATCATCGTTTAGTTACACGTTTGCGCAAGTTACATTTTGACTTCAGTTATGTAAAGATAAAGAAATAATTAAGAGTGATAAGGCATTAGTAAATTGTTTTGATCTACTAAATACGATGTTAGGTCAATTGTTTAATTATATTTATTGTCAAGAAAATAAAAACTATTGTACAAATTTTCCTTGAATATGGATGAATAGTTGGTCTAAACAAATTTATATGAATGAGTGTAATTCAGTACCGTACATATATATATCCGTTAAATGATAAACTTATATGGTATGCTATAAACAACTCTAAACTCTTTACTTAAATCAACCATGATTTTCACTTACTGAATGAAGCAGACTATCATCTTTGAATTAGTATCCTTGATTTACATTCATACACTTATTTATTAGATATTTTTATTAAACGAACTCTCAGTATTTAATAAAAATTTATGATTTGATTCAAAGCAAATCACTGATACTATTAAGAAATTGTTGTTCTGTATAGACTTTCGTTCAAAGTGTAATATTCAGTTCTATAGCGAACTGAAGAGGGGGTAAAAATGAGTGTAGTTAAAAAAGTAGAAACTGTTAGCCTGATAAAAATGTATTGTATATCCTTATGCTTTTTACGTACCATAAATAATGCTATGATGCAGTATCATAGACATTTTATTCACGAAATTATGATAGTTAGTTAAACTTCATTAAGAATACTGATATGTTCCATATCATTTACTGACCTTTTTCACATATAACTTACAAAAATGCCTGAATTACACCAGAAACTGATTTTATTGTGCTATAATCACCACTTTTCTACAACATAATCTTGAGAGATATCTACGGAAGTTGAAGAGTATAGAAAGAAGACTAACAGTATTCAACTGTAAGTCTGCTATATCTTCGTCTTCTGTTACATTTATTGGGAAATGAGGAGCCGCTACAATTCAAACGACATGAAAGAATGGTACAAGTGGCAGTAATGAGACTATATATTTCTAGATGAACCAATGAAATTAAAGGTAGCAGGTCTTGGGTTTCGGTGTGATGTTCACGCATCTATGTAGTCAAATAGCATTTTGGCGTGATGAAAACTTTAATTCTTAACCCCGACTTCTACCTTTCAATCTTAATTCTTCGCACTAAATCACCTTGGCGTCACTCATAAAGTATAAACTTGTAGTGAAAATTTATTCCCTCCAAAACATAACGACAACTGTAGTCGAAAATGCACTAAGCTATATATTGATGTATACACCGATCTAATTATTAATTAGCAAAATATTACATGTATGAAATTATATAGAAAACTGTATGCTGCATGTTATACTGAGTATAATTCATGTTAATTGAGAATCGGAACAAGCATTCATTTAGAAGACTTAACAATCTTAGTATTTTTTTTCTGTTTTGATTCTTCCAAATTTTTAAGAAATAGATTAATGATGCATGTATGAAGTTATAAGGAGAATAATGTCTATTATGTAACTATGCAGTTATTTTTGAATTATTGAGAAAGATTACATTAGTTTCATGATGATACAAGATAAACCAGAATAATTAATTAATTCAGAAGAATATTTGAAGAAAATGTTCATTGAACGTTTATCTAAAATGTGTATGATCCACTAATTGTATAACGATTAAACAAGTAAATAACAATTAAAAATGTTAAAGTGTGAATGTAAGACAAGTTAGTTGTTGAAACTGGAAATTTCGAATAAACTATATTCTATTCTTGGGATCTTAATTTTTTTTCTATATTATACTCGTAATGAACAGAACACGGGTGGGGACAATCGAATGTATTAAACACAAAAGTACAAGACTTGTTAATAAAATCTAACAATCATAAAGTATCAGAATGGGTTTTGTGGAGAGTTTAAGAAATTTCACAAGTTGAAAACCTGGAAGCACTGGACGGCCGTTTCGTTCTGGTATGGGACTCATCAGCAGTGCGATTCCACGATCCCGCACCACGCAGGGCTCGAACCCAGGACCTACTGGCTTCGCGCGCGAGCACTTAACCACTAGACCACTGAGCCGGCTTCAACTGACTCATGATTTCAACTTGTAAAATTTCTTAAACTCTCCACAAAACCCATTCTGATAATAATCAACTGCTCACTAGTGACTGATTTCAGGAAAAACTCCTGGAGTTCTAGTGAGAAGCCGTTACCAGTGGAGTTCAACCGGTCTGTTTTGAGATAACAACTCACTGAAGACAATGGTGTACGGTGGCGCAACTTCGTGGATTGGTTGAAGTTAGACATTAACACCGTTGGATGCCGGTTCAGTGGTCTAGTGGTTAAGCTCTCGCGCTCGAAGCCAGTGGGTCCTGAGTTCGAGCCCCGCGTGGTGCGGGATCGTGGATGCGCACTGCTGAGGAGTCCCATACCAGGGCGAAACGGCCGTCCAGTGCTTCCAGGTTTCCAATAGTGGTCTTGCTTCCACTGACTCATGATTTCAACTTGTGAAATCATAAAGTAAATGCTTAATTTGCAAAATGTCCACCATTTGTCTTAAAATAACTCAGAATTCATTGTTTTTACATCTTCATACAAATTGCATTCTGTTTTCATTCTTTAATGTTCGATTCTCTTATCTCTCTGCTTCCAGACCTTCTGTTCATGACTAACATCATATACTACTTATGTTAATATAAGTAGCACACACCACATACTATGCTTAATTGTTTTCTTTTGATTAGGGTTTTTTTAATCACTCATATTTACCTTTATTTATACGTATGCTTTGTTAGAATTTATTGCAGACTGAAAATATAGCAACTCTCTTACAATCAATTTCGATTATGGTTAATTTTGGTTAAGCCTTTTTATTAACTTAACAGACAGTGTTATTCGACACAGTAACAATTTGCATATTCCTTTGTACTATTATGATCACTATAATATCTGTATAAACATGTACGATTGATCACATAACAGACTCTAGCTAAAGTGTTGATAGCTTAAATATCACTTGATGATTCATATGCACTCAAATCTTATTGTTAGCCTTCGCTTTTCCTTTCTGTGCCCTTATGCATTTGACTATAAATTGGCTTATGTATGAGATCACTCGTACACATATTTGCCTCTGCTTCAAATTCGCTTGATGTGCTTTGTGATCTGTGCTATCCGTTAATAAACTATAGTTGCTGTTTCTTATTGCTTTCTAATTTGAAACACCGTTGAAATTTATATAATAACAAGAGTGATTGATTGACAAAGTGTAGTGTCGGTTATTATGTTAAGCCCATATACCTTATTTTAGCTTTCGGCCAGCCTAGTCTATTCATTCTACTTGAGTCACATTCTAACCTTGTTACTTATTCATTTATCAATCTTGACTGTTTTTATATGAGCACGTAGGTGTGTGTACATTTCTTGTCCCATTACTCATCACATGTCTGTAACTTACTTTTGTGTAACTATAAGTATTGATTGACGCTTGGTTAAATGGGAGTTGGCTTACCCGCCATCTCCACTGCGCGTCGTTTTGCTTCATTCTATTTCATCCACTTTATATACAAAATATATGTATTCAAAATTTCGTTCTCGTTATTTCACTTATTTAATTCCGTTATTGACTAACGCAATTTAAGTTGATGATTATATACGAGGATAGGCGATAACAAACATTCATACGATCTAATTGGAGTCAGAACTCGGGCCACTAAAGTGAAGAGCCCTTACGACAACATCGTTCGATCTAAACAACGACAAAAAAAGTAAAGCCACTAAAAACAGATACATTTTTCTATTGAGTTAAATGTTTTCATTCATTCATGTATTCAACTAATTATTCATTTAATATGGTAATAATTCTAAAATAATGAGTTTTAAAAGTTTATCTGTAGTAATTCTATCATTTATTGTATTAAGAAAACAAATTCACACATAGAATTAGTCATTTTTATTGAACTATACTCAAGTAAAAATTTCATCTTCAATGGTCGGTCATAAATCATTTCAAGACTAACTTGAAACCTTGAATCAATAAATTTACTCTAAAATAATAGAATTTCTTTTCAATTTATTACATAATGTATATTGTCAAAATACATCTTAACACATTTTTTTTTATTATTTAGTTTGTTTAAAACGTACACTTTATACAAGTTAATTTAATATTAAGTGCATAATATTGTGTAAATCAATATTTTAATTTCATTGGTTAGTCGTTTCAACCAATCAACTAACAGAATTACTCAGTACTATACATATATATACATCGTCATTTACAACATTATAAATTCTGTATATTTGAGAATGTCTATCCAAATGAGAAAGTTTACAAAACTAATTGACAATTATGGTAGAATTCATGATTATTTACGTATATCAATAACAGGAAAATGTAATTTAAATTGTAAGTTCAAATAAATTGGCATTTACTACTTAATTTTTTTTTACAAAAAAACAAAACAAAACCCATATAGGTTCATATTGTATGCCAAATAAATCATATCAAAATAATCAAATTATATTATCCAATATAATAACATCTAATGAAATATTATTTCTTGCTAATTATTTTTGTTATCGTGGTATAAGAAAAATTCGTTTAACCGGTGGTGAACCATTATTACGATCTGATCTACAACAAATTATAAGTTTGTAATAAATTACAATTATATATATATATTACTCTTTTTTTTTCTTCTCTCTTGTTTAAAAATAATCATAATCATATTCATAATAAAAGAAGATTTAAATGAATTAAAATGTCAACATAAACAATTTAATGAAATAGCAATAACTACAAATGGAGTGAAATTTAAAAAATATGCTGAAAATTTAATAATAGCTGGATTAAATTCAGTGAATATCAGTTTAGATAGTTTAAAATCAGAAAAAATTTTAAAATTAACAGGACAATCTACATTTAAACATTCAATGGCAGCTATAATTAAAGCAATTGAAGTAGGATTTAAAAGTGTTAAGGTATGTAATTATTTTATTTTATTTGCTTTTGTAAAAAAAATATATATGTACCATTAGTATAATAATTCTATGTCGAATGAGTTCTTATCATGGAATGATATGGTTTGAAGAACTATAGACCATTACTTACTAACGCCGATCAGCATTCTCCAACCCACGTTGTCCTGAGCCTTCCTTTCTAATTCCATCCAATTCTTGTTCATTTTTCTCATGTCTATCTCCATTTCTCGGCGTAATGTGTTCTTTGGTCTTCCTCTTTTCCTTTGGCCTTGAGGATTCCATGTAGAGGCTTGTCTTGTGACTCGGGTGCTTTCCTCAATGTGTGTCCTATCCACTTTCGGCACTTCTTCCCGATTTCTTCCTCCGCTGGGATCTGGTTTGTTCTCCCCCAGAAAAAAATTATTCAAACTATAGACCATAGTATGATAAATTTTATACTGAATTAATCTGTCTTCGAAATATCATGTTGAACATATCTGAATTATTGTATCTATGTGTGATAATAATAATAATAGATTTATTCAATACATTCTGCTTAAATACAATAAAGAATTTTTAGCCAATATTTCAAAGTATTGTAACATAGACTTAATCAAGGTTTCCTACCAATTACCATCAACTACCTAATGTTATAAGCTTTCCATAAAAGCGCATAAGGAACTAATTCAATGATTACAGCATTAGAATTAAGTAATTTGTATGTGAATGTGATGCGTATTTTTTCATACTCCATCTTCCATAAACAGATATCCATTTTATTTGGAAGTGTTTTTTACTCCACATCACCTAGGGTTGACTACTATCACAAGATTTCTTAAACGGTGAGATAAAAAGAATAAAATGTGAACTTGTTTCAGTTCATTGATTTTACGCACTTACTTAGGACTGTTACTTTTCAGGGAGTAAAAACCATCAACTAGGGATCGCCAACCAACTCTGTCCGGGGCTCTCCTTTACAGCTGCTTTTATCTGTTATTCATTCTTTTGATGTCTGTATCCAAATCCTAACTCATTGTGTTCTTAGGTATACTTTTCTTTTAACATTCAGGATTCCAAGTTAGGACTTGTCTCGTGATTTATTGTGATGCTTTGCGCAATGTATATCCTATCCACCTGTAGAATCTTTCCATACTTTCCCATTCAGCTGGAAGTTGGTTTGTTCCCTTCCTCAATAGGTTGTTGATGACGATATCCGGTTAACGGACATTGAGAACTGTTTATAGATGCCAGTACTTTTTGATGATGGTTATAGTAGTTCTCCACGCTTGAGCTCTGTACAATAGAACTATCTTAATGTTTATATTGGAAATTTTGATGCTAATCAGAATGGTTTTAATTATAATCAATGATTGGAATATACATAGGACAATCTGAAAATATTGACGAAGTTTGAAATGAATAAAATAATTAGTTCATATCGAAGTGTGTTAGGTTCAAAATTAACTCTTGAGTTCATTTTTATTTAGAAATAATTGGAAATAATATCTTTGAATTCTCGTTTTGGTACACTACAAAAGTATTAATAATGTCATTGTTAACAATGATATTATCACCTATTAATACAGAAAACAATTTTACTGAATATTATGCATGAATCACTGGGTAGCTTTAAAAGACGAAACAACCAGACTGGATTATTTTTTTAGTATGCTGTAAGGAAGAATTTATACTAAACGTTAGATTTAAAAAAATCAAGCAATGATATTTATTGAATAATTAACTGTACATAGGAAGAACCAACAACAATGAAATTAAGAAAATGGGTTAAGGATTCTAAAGAATTACAGTATAAATAAAGAATAATTATAGTTCTTTATTAATTTAAATGATTGTTTGCTATTGTTATAATTTTCTATGTAGATTATCATTCAGCAGTTGTATAATTGAAATCATAATATGTTCAGAATAGCTTAATCCAATGAGATGGATATTGTTTAATTGTATTATACACATTGCATTATACTCATTTCGTCTTGCATTAGACTTATCATCTGGATGTAGCTACACCCCGGTGATGATGTTCACACACTGATGGGATCCATTTATTTTCACGTCAAATGCCCTACGCATTGTCCATTGAATTGCCAATTCCAAATAACCACTAACTTGTTTAACATTTATGATATTTATACTATTATGAGAAAAGGATTAAATTCAGTAACTCAGTAAGCAATGTTTTAGGTATTTGACACGAAAGAAACTGGGTTCAAGCTCCGTTGCGAACATCAACTCCATGATGCAGGTATTCCAGCTGACGAGTCCCAAATACGACGAAACTCGCGTACTGGATTTCACTGCTATCCGCCATCCATCTCTGCTTATAATCCATGTGACTTGAGACAATATCGAAGTAATCCGCACAGGATACATATATGTCAATAAGAGACTGATCACTCGCAGTGCTAAATATCAATGGGAAGATTCAAACTACCAATACAAAGATGAATTATTTCTGATGATGTTTAAATTATTTGTTGTACTAAAAAAGGTATACTGAGATCGAGAAAAAGGGTCATCTTCTGAGTAAAATAAACAGTTCATAATCGAATTCAATTGTTTGGTTACCATGAAGAAAAGATATGCCATAAGTTACGAAACGTCAGAAATACTCATTGGGATATCATAAATGTATCATTGTTTTATTATTAAAGTTCAATTCAATGTTCAATTTATTTGAAATTATCATGTCCAACCGTAATAATAATACTTACATAGTTCATCAGATTGTTTCCAAATTCATTCAAAAACAGAATAAAACCTGGCTCTCACATCAATTAAACATCAGAACAGTGAACAAGCGTTGTAAAACACAAGTACATTTCCTTATTTTAACATGCTCTAAAATTATAGGTTCAATGTTATATTTAGTTCTATTCAATAATTAATCAAGTACTCCCTAACTTTCAGTGGTTGTCTAATCAGTGTGAGATTATTATGATATTACCCTCAAATGATACAAGGTCTTCCCAAAACCACCAAACATTTCCTTATATTTTTTGGTTGAAATCCTGAAGTGATTGATGTTAGATCACCATTTAAAACCTGGAAGCACTGGACGGCCGTTTCGTCTTATTGTGGGACTCCTCAGCAGTGCGCGTCCATGTTTTCAATGGTGGTCTAACATCAATCGGTTCTTGATCTCAACCAAAAAAAACTTGATAATCTCCACAAACCTATACTGATAATTTCTTGATCTGTATTATTTGTAGGTTAATTGCGTAGTTATGAAAAATTTCAATGAAGATGAATTGTGCGATTTTGTTGAACTGACACGATATTTAGTAAGTGTATGTTTGTATAGATTAAATTTCATTTCATTTCTCAGAATAGTTTAATTGCATAGTTTGTAAAAACTATTATTTTTACTAATTTATAATTTGATCACAAACTTATATTCAGAGATAAATGGTGGCTAGCAAAAAAGCCCAGGACGAGCTTATCGTCCTTTGTGGACATAGCAGCTTGATGTGTCTGGACTACATAATTGGTGTTCACTCCATGATCCCTGTACCGCTCGCTTCAAATGCCATCGCTTTATCTACTTAGTTATTGAGTCTAGATGGATGCTAGCTTGTTCAATGGGATGAAGTTTTATTTATTTATATTGGTTGTTTGAATCTTTCCATTGATGTTTAGCACTGTGATTGATCAATCTCTTATTGGCATGTGTGCATCCTGTGAGGATTGCTTCAATATTGCCTCAAGTTATAAACATTATAGGTGGAAATGGATGGTGACTAGCAGTGAAATCCTTGTGACTTAAGGGAATATAGAGGGAATCTACACAAGATGCACTTATGCCAATAAGAGATTGAACAGTTGCAGTCGTAAATGTCAATGGGAAGTCTCAGACAGCTAATACGAAGTATTTTATTTCTTTGGTATTCTGTAGATCAAGCGTTTTGTTTTAATCATTCAATATTTTTATTTTTAAAGAATAGTTGTCGACAACATAAACATTTCAAATAGTCACTATATTTATCAATGAAATGATCCACCAGTAGTTACATTCAATTTTTCATTGCAAATTTTGCATATATTTAAGTATGTATTAAATAATTAGCAATGCAAATTATGCATTAGGTTCTTTATCAAGAAATAAAATAAGTTTCAAACAAATAAATAATTTATTCTGAAAATCATTACAGAATTCATACGGATTTACAGTCATGATCAAGTTGATACAGATAGTACGTAATGGAGAGATACATAGCTTAAAATTGTTTATAATTATGTAATTCAAAATTGTTTTGATAATATATTTGTTGCATGGAATTACAACAATATGCGGGATCATTTGAGAACCATTGATTTTTTTTGTAGGGGTACTAGAATATCCTATTGATGTATGAACAGTGTAGTCAAGGTTGGTTCCAGTATCATTACAGAGTTATTATAGTCGTCTATAACTAAAAAAAGACAACATAGAGAACACAGAAAAACAACAGTAAACACTTATCTAATAGATTTGCCATTATGCATATGCTGAGTTGTTACATGATCTACTGATTAGGTTAGATCAGTTAAATTTACCAAGGACGGTGTAAATGTAAAATGTTTTCATAAAAATGTTTAGTGAGTGCTCTCAGTCATAACAGCCATCGAACATTTAATTTTTTTTTAGTTTCAATTGTGGGATGGGATATATTTAAAAGTGTAAACATATTTAGAGTAGTGCGAGAAGTGATCTAAACATCACTACAATAAACGAATGTTGGGAGTGATTCAATTTCAAGGACATATTTCAGCAAATTATTCCAGAGTATCAAAAATCTACTACTAAGATAATTAATATAGAAAGAAAATTTAGGATAAAGCAGTTTGACTAATGGTAATGAATTGTGAGTGCTATAACTGGATGTTTCATCCTGTTGAATTCTAGCGCTGAAAGTGAAAGTTAGTTTATTAAACATTATGAAGAAATATTAAGTGCAGTGTAAGTCTCCTTTTCTACAAAGGGTCGAGTGTTAGTTTGTTTGATCTAGATATATGGTTTAAGGCACAGTCATTTCCCAAAAATGCGAAGTGTGAGTCACCGCTGAACAGATCCCAGTCATTTTGTCCCTTATACAAACACTAATAGGAATAAAGTCACATTATACAAAGTGTTCGAATATATAATTTGTAAATTAAAATACGTGAATCATTGTTTTAACCCAGAAGTCACCAGGTTTTGGAAGTCCATTTGACGACGGTTTTTGAAAAAGACGAGGATTGGGAATGCGTGAGTTATAAGTCAATTACTGCGTGAAACCTGCATAATACTATACCATTTACAGACAAGTTTAGATTGAGATAAAGATGGCTAAAACAAATTTATCAATATGAAGTAGTGTTTAGTTCCAATTTTCATTTCGAACACCACTGGGCTACCTTACTTAACTGCATAATGATACAGTTTTGTATGTGGTATAGCTCATGAATAGAAAATAAATACACTGCTTTAAGATCATCCGTATCTAGAAGAGGCTTATCCATACAAAAGTGGTTGCAAACATCATTTATAAAAGGTAAAAAGAGCAAAGGACCCAATATACTACCTTATATTATCCCACTTCTGACTGGGGTGGTATACGATAAGGAGTTTCTTTGAATTATTTGGTGACGGTAAATGAGAAAACAATTAAGCCACTCAAGCACGCAATTTTTGATCCCTTAAGATGAGAGTTTGTCTGTAGGAATCTGGTAGTTAATCATATCGAAAGTTCCAGAAATGTCAAATTTTAGCACTAAAACTTAATATTGTAGAATATTCTAAACTCCTTTAAATCTTGAATTTCCATATTATTTCATGCTTTTCGTACTGCGAATTCATTCGTTTCGTTAAAATGAATTTTCTCTTCTCACTAGTGACTAGCTTTGTAAGGGAATTCTCGGAGTTCTGGTGAGAAGCCATGACCAGTGGAGCTAATCAGTGTTGGGTAGAGATCGGTATCCACCTCGATACAATGAAATATGTTGGCGCAACTTTGCGGATTGGTTTAGGTTAGACATTAACACCGTTGGGTGCCGACTTAGTGGCTCAGAAGTTAAGCGTCTGCTCGGGAGACTGAAGGCCCTGGATTCGGTCCCTGAGAGCGGGATTGTGGATGCGCCCTGCTGAGGAGACCCACAATAATAGAAAACGGCCATCCAGTGCTTCCAGGTTTTTAATGGTGGTCTAACATCAATTGATTCATGATCAAAAAAAGTTTCTGTTTAGTATAATATCATTGTAAATAACGCTATGCAGACTCATTGGGCTTTCCTTGTTGATGGAAAGAGTAAACATTTAGACCGATCCTTATTTCTATCGCGTCTTATGATGTTTATAATTAATGTTTATATATACGCTTCTTTCATCATTCTTATTATTTCAGCCTATTGAAGTACGATTCATTGAATATATGCCATTTTCTGGTAACGATTGGGAACTATCAAAATTATTCTCATATAAACAAATGTTAAATATTATACAAAATTCATATCCGAATTTAATTTGTTTAAATGAAAAATCATTTGATGTAACAAAAGTAAGCATAATATAAAATACTTTTGTTTAACATATAAAACTATTTTAATAATATGACCCTCATTTAGTTCGAGTTATTAGGTGAACAGTCTCAGGTTCACTTTATTATTTCATCTACACATTTGGTATTTCATGGCATATATTGTTATAATGAACTTGTGGTGAACCAAAAATTCATGTGTATAATATATAAAACACAAATTATTACACACAAGAAAAATATACAGGATGTTACTTAAATTGTCACGAATCGACGTATTCAAGTTTCTTTTGATCTGGTAATCCACAATTATACTTAGTGTTATTCCCCCCACCCCAATAGAACCTAGGCCGCCGACCAGTATTCTCCGCCTGATGCCCCTCTGAGTCTACTGCTTATCCCAAGCCCGGTTGAAGGAAGAGGGTTGAGCATGGGGTTAGCGGCCCCATCCTGTAGAAAACTAACTTTCTAAAAAAACGCTAACCAGAAAAAATAATTCAATCCACAGTTATAAATAGTTAGTAATTCCAATTCTAATTGTTATAGTTCGAGATGTATATCCGGATAAAGTATATAATAAAAATATCACTGTGATCTGTAAACGTAGATAGCAAATGTATTAGAGTTCTGTTATCATAACAGCGGGTAATTGAGAACAAGAAGCATATGTGTATAGCAGTTTATTTGTGAGCGATAATCAGTGTGCCATGCTATGGGCGATTCAAAAACGAAACGGAAAAAACTATGCAGACGATGAATATCTCAAACTCTACGCATCCGATAAACAAAGTAAATGGCTGACTTAGTCGACGAGCGATTCAAATGACATAATCTCTAATATGACACATTCAGCGAAGCCAGTAAAGCAGTGATATGGACATGCTCAATTCGTATTGTCTTGTAGGTAATTTGTCCTTGTTTCAACACTAGTCACTTGTCTATTTAGCAGATCATTCCATTATGATTATAATAATTACCATATTCTTATTGTCACAATAATGTAATATCATCACCTAACGTGGAATTATTATTGCTGTTCGTGTTGATATTAAATTATGACATTTACGCAGTTACATTACTCACACATAAAATTATAATTTTATGAACATTCGATTCTCGCATTTGACTTAATTCCTTTATTCACTAACTCCAGTAAAGTAGATGATTATATACGAGGGTAGTCGGGATGTATATTTCAATAACAGTCATTCATACGGTCGGCGAGACTATAATTTATGAACGAACTGATCAGATTTAGAATAACCGGTGTTGGATTTCGGCGAGATTTTCATCCATCTACTTGGTTAAATAGTGTTTCGGCATTTTAGCTGATGTCAGTTCGTGATAAAAACCCTAAATCTAGTTCCTAACCTTAATTATCAAACGTAAATTATAGTTATAATTCCTCACACAGATTTATAACCCTCATTTAGTTCTAGTTAGTAGGTGGACATTCTCAAGGTCACTTTAGCATTGCTCAAATGTCATCCATAAATTACAATCTAACCATACGATCCAATTGAATTCAGATGAAGGGCTACTAAACACCATACACTATTAATTCTGATGAACAATCGATTATTTGAGTACAAGAAAATGTATATACTAGATTTTTGGATTACTTTACATAATCAGTAGCTTTGTGAGGTCTTGAAGAGAGATTATGAACTTAAGGAATAAATCACTGGGATAAAATGAGATCATAAAGAGGTGTTATTTATTTTATTTATGTATATAGTAAGCCTAAAACTTGAATACGAAAATAAAAAGTGAAACAGATTGATCTAGCGCTTGTTTAATAATTCATAAGCTCACTTTTTTTTGAAGTGAACTTTGATAATGCTGTCCAGATTGAAGATGAACGCTTCATTATTAAATCATCCAGCTTTAAAAACTCAATATCACCCAAATGTTTGTGTTTTCAAAATGATCTAAAATATGGAGTGATATTCACTGGATTGTAAATTCATCAAAGTCAACTCAAGTAAACTATCTAGTTCAAAAGACTTAACTTCATTGAAGGTTTTCACTATAACTAGAAATCTTCTCCAACACTACCACTAGCACTGGACATAGATCGAATAGAGTACCATATTATTATATATAAAGATAAGCCATCATCCTACAAGTAAATGATCTTTAAAATCAGAATTTATATTTATGTCGGAAGATGAAGTGATTAGAAGACATTGAAGACACTCTTAGAACAATTCATTCTCGTGTTTACTTATTAATAGTTCAACAAGAACCATATGAATACATTAATAGGTATAAAACATTGCATTCATTATAGTTTATTATATGAATAGTCTATTTAATTGTAACAGTTTAATTATCAAATAATAATTTTTATTATCAAGATTTAACCTTACCAAAGAAGAGCTAAGAATCACCATAAAGCTTTTCAAACCAAAAAGAACCGATGACACAGATGATCTATTGGTCTACATCCTATACTTAATTACTTCATTGGATATGAAAGTCTGTTATGTATGCTTTAAAGATTTATTGAACTAGAATATCGGATAGTGATATAAAGTATACAATTATATACTTATGTTTATTGGTGAAATATGAAAAAAAAACATATTTTTAATATATAATGACCTACTTACTGATAGTTGAGTTCAGTGATAGAAACACAATTTCCCTGATTTATTTCTTAATATTTTCACTTTTTTTTTAAAAAAGCTTTTTCAAGTATCAGGATGGTTAGGTAAGATTGGTTTCATCACTTCAATGACTGAGAATTTTTGTGCTGGATGTTCACGTTTACGTATTACAGCGGATGGAAATCTTAAAATTTGTTTACATGATAATTATGAAGTGAGTTTAGTGGGAATATTACGCAACAAAATGAATTCACATATAATTAATGATTGGTTTGCTGATAAGTCTAATTATAATTTAAAACAATCTATACAATTAAATGAAATCTATGATCAACTTGATGAAATTGTCGATCAAGCTTTAACTAAAAAGTCTGCTAGTCACAAAGGTAAATATAGTTTTAAACAATAAACTAATACATAATTCTATTTCTATTTATAAACGTTTCACTATTAATTTGGACATTATTTTCAGAGTCGGTCCGTTTTTTTATTCTGATAATAAGATAAACTAGAAGAAAGCGATAAATCTAATTATGACACACAATTTAGTTCATTGGATTTTTCTTTAATTCTTCTGAATTGATATCTGATCATCCACCAAGTACATATAATACCATGAGAATTGTAAAGCAAGAGATCTCTATAATCTGAACTACAAACACTTTGACTACCGTAATTCATTGTATGATAATATGTAAATGAAGTACATGTTCAAATGTCGTTTGTTTTCTGGTGAAAACCTTGTTTTGAAAATGTAAAGTTAAGATGATCAAATGAAAACGCTATGAACGATAAAATGACTTGAGACAGAAACTTTACTAAATATCTCAAATAATTTAAGACATATTAAGTTATAGAATGTAATTAAGTGATTGCTTTCGCTTATGCTAGACAGCTCGGAATCAACTAGACGATTTGGACTACGCAGATGATTTTGCCCTTCTATCCTATACACACCAACAAATAATGCAGAAGTAGACCTCAACATACACCAAGGGAAAAGGAAGATCCACAAATACAACACGGATAACACTAAGCCAATCACACTTGATGGAGAAACTCTGGGAGAGGTGGAAACTTTCACGTACCTGGGAAGCATCATTGATGAACAAGGAAGGTTGGTTGCAGACGTAAGTGTAAGAATTGGCAAAGTATGGACATTATTCCTACAACTGAAAAAAAAGGAACTGAAAACAACTGTCAACCAGTATCAAAGTCACAATCTGCAATACGAACATCAAGACAGTCCTAATGTATGAACCTCGATCCAATCCTCTAACCAATCAATATCGTGGTCTACAGGATAAGCTGTGAACCACATATAGAGAAATTCGAACACCACTTCTATTTGAAGTTTGTGCTGATGATGTCGTTCAGAAGAACGATGAAAGCTCCAAGATTAAACCATCTAACTCAAAGAACAAAACTCTATCCAAATCATCCACCTGAACTACAAATCTTCTCCACCATCTCAATATCAAATATTGTCCATTCAAACTTGATATTCGCTTAAATAATACAAAGTAATCGCTTTATTTTTACTAAGTTATCTCCTACATTAAAAGATTAATCCGATTTTTTCCCCTTCATGGAACTAAAATTACTATTTGAATTGATTATAAAGTTGAATAAACCATTTTACTAAATTAACTGTAATTTATTGATTGAATGACTATTATAATTTTATCAGAATGGGTTTTGTGGAGATTTTAGAAATTTCACAAGTTGAAATCATGAGTCAGTTGAAGCTAGACCACCATTGAAAACCTGGAATCACTGGACGGCCGTTTCGTCCTAGTATGGGACTCCTCAGCAGCGCGCATCCATGATCCCACACCACGCGGGGCTCGAACCCAGGACCTACTGGCTTCGCGCGCGAGCACTTAACCATTAGACCACTGAGCCGGCATCCAACGGTGTTAATGTCTAACTTCAACCAATTATAATTTTATCTTCAATTATTTAATTTATTTGTAAATTTTCTTTAAAATAAAAAGTTGATTATTACTTCTATTTTATTTTTAAATGAACTATAGGTGCTATTCAACTTGCATCAAGTGTAAATCGTTCAATGGTTCAAATTGGCGGTTGAACAAATTTTCAATAATTCTATCAATTTAATATAGATGAATTTTGAATTAAGATAAAATAATTTATTATGTAAATGTATTTAAATAAATATTAATTGAATAATTATACACTTTTATTTTTGATGTTGTATGTTTTCTTGTAAAACTGTGTGTATGTGTTGTTAATTAAGAATAATATAAGTTAATGGTAGTCTTAATGTAGTTAAGTTATATCTTGATAGGAACTTATTTATTTATTTTAACATATAGATATTGGTACAAGGAGGCACTAAATACATATGCGCCACACGAATCCCATTCGATATGTGTGAGGGCTGTGATACTGCCCGGGTGCCCAAACCGAAGCAGGTGGTTTTCTTAGGGGGCCACACCCCGAGCCTTCGACCTGAAGATCTGATCCACAAGGCAGTGGAGCATCGTAAGGAGATGCAGTCCCATGGAAGCCGGTGATCAGCAATTGGTTCATGCGCCATTTGTCCCCGCAGGATACTGGAGCCCATGTGCACCATTGATTTGATTTGGAATCTGGTTAAAGCTCCGGACATTCGCTTTTTGTTCTCATTTTCGTAAGCAACAAGTGAATAGGACTTCCCTGGCAGAGGCTATATACGCGTGGTCATGTGAGAGCATTTCGAGTGGGAGAGCGGACTCTCCACACTCTCGGCCATAACAAGGCATTTTGGGGCTGATAGGAACTTATAATTCATAATTCAATTGACCATTAATTTTAGTTATGTGGACAAATGTGAATTTATTGGATAAGACATTTTAGATATTTGACATTGTTAGTAGAAAATTATCTATTTATCAACTGAATTAGATGTAATTTTCATAAGTCACACATTGCATCGATATTTAATGTTGAATCAGTTTATGAGTAGGATATGAGATAACTATCCGTTCGGTCATAGATTAGGACTCATGTTGATACGATTTAGATTAGTTTGACTACTTAGAAATATAAATCGTATTATAGGTATTATTTGATTTAACTTTCCAAAGTATTTAATCTTTTTCCTTAGTTCACTTAACTTGATCAAATAACATATTTATTAAATTCATTTTTTATTGTTTGTTTAAATCATCCCATTGATATTTAGGATTGCGATTGATCAGTCTCTTATTGGTATATGTGCATCCGGTGCGAATTGTCTCGATATCTCCTTAAGTCACAAGCATTATAAGCAAAGATGGATGGTGGCTAGCAGTGGAATCCAGGCAATATTGTGACAATCCTCATAGGATACACATATGCTAGGGCGATTCAAACAAATAATACAAAATGTATTTAAACTTCACAGCATTGCACAAGCAAGTAGCTACTAGTATTCAATAGGTAATTGGATAACGCGATGGTGTTTGAAGCGAATGGCACTAAGTTCAAGTCTCAGAGTGAACATCAATTCTAGGATGCAGGTATATTCAGCTAATGAATCCAAGATAGCAGGAAATGCACGTTCTTGACTCCTATGCTAGCCATCACGCATTTTTGCTTGCTATAATTATTATCTATCATGTTTGTACGAGCGAAATTATAACTTTTGGTTACTCATATCATTCTATCAAGTTCATGTTTTAATTGTTTCATTTGATAATTAATTTTTGATGATGTTCAACTATGTTAAACTCGATTACCCATTTTGACAAGAATTGAACTTTTGTCATTTTTAAAATGATTTTTTCTATTGAATATGTTAGTTGTAATTAATGAATCTGTATGATAAATAATGGTCATCAGAACTCACTAAAAGACTAATTGTCAACTTTTAAAGTAGAGATAAAATGTAGATAATGTGCAATCAGCTGATTGATAAATAATGACTGATATTATATTTGTTTATTAGTTTAATAATGATCAAATTCCAACGATCAAGTTACAGTGTGGCTACTAGTCTAAGTGAATCGACAAGGTGTGAATTATTTGGAGATATTTATCGGTTTGAAGTTATCAATAGGGAAACGTTGGACTTAGTATTCGTGCCATTTCGCACTCGTCAACAAGGTTTAGGTGTGATTTTGAAGGAACTGATGCTTTCTGTTAGTGTTGAACCCACATCATTTAGCTTCACATTTAGAAACGCTATTATTAATCTATTCAAGCAGCGACTGACCTCATGTAGGACTCAGACATTCACAATTAATTAATCATTGAGTAATCACCAGTATCATACTTATCTAGCCATTTTTTGTCTGTCGAATTCTATCGATCAAAATGTATGTTACACATGAATTTACATTCGTGAGCAATTTTATTTACTTAAATAAGCCAAATGCATGTGAAAGATTAGGAGAATCCAAAATGAAATGAACTCTCTTCATCTCACAATGTTTACAGTTATCAGTTTATTATTTAACAAAGAATTCTAGAACCACCTTATGGTTACAATGAAGTAAATTCTTGAGTAAAAGTTTAGAAAATCTTATGATTTTTTAAACAGTTATTAAAGTTTGGGAAGTTACTACTAATAATAATTAAATGATTGACCTGATCGAATAGTTTTGGAAATATAGACTATTTGCGTAGATGTGTCAATTTTAATTACTTTATAATTTGACAGTATTGCTTAGAATCCATCTGAATAAGGTAAATGGTTTAACTCTTTATTTTCTACTAAATCTCAAGTTACAGTAATCCTTTATGCATACTTTACGTTACTAATTTTCAAAATCTTTTGCCAATGTTCAATTTTTCTCATTATTACTACTACATTGTTTAGATTTCTTCGCTATTCATCTTGTGTATGGTGGACAGCTGACAGATGCATTCCAAGTAAGGACCAGAGTCAGACAAAACTGTCTACTCTCCACCTCCCTATTTCTCCTGGTAGTCGACTGGAATATGAAGACCTTGATATCTGAGGGAAAGCAAGGAATACAATGGATAGCTCAAAATCAATTATACGATTCGGACTTCGCAGATAACCTACTGCACACTAACAAATTCAGATGAAGACAACTAGTGTAGCAGCAGGCTCTGCATCAGTAATCCTCGACATACACAAAGAAAAAAGAAAGAATCTCAAATACAACATACAGAACATCAACTCAATCACACTTGATGGAGTATCCCTGGAAGAGGTGAAATCTTGCACGTACCTGGGAAGCATCGTCGATGAACCAGGAAGATCTCATGCAGACGTAAAGCTAGGGCCTCATTCTTACATTGAAGAACATATGGAAGGTACAATTATTTATAAGTAGTTGTCTATGTACGATACTGAACATCCATTGGCCGGATACCATGAGCAACAGCCTGCCAGCTGAAGAGGAAATTAGGTAAAGACGATGGAAATGGATAGGACATACATTACGAAAATCACCAAACTGCATCACGAGACAAGCCCAAACTTGGAATGCTGAAGGGAAGTGGAAAAGATGAAGGTCAAAGAACACATTACGTCTGGAAATAGAAGCAGATATGAAAAAGATGAATAACAACTGGAAAGAGCTGGAAAAGATTGCCCAGAACAGGGTTGGATGGAGAATGCTGGCGAGCGGCCTATGTTCCTTCACGAGGAGTAACAGGCATAAACATTTTGTCATATTAATATAGTTTGACAACTTGGATCAAATCATAATAATCCCCATTCTGTACATTAATTTATAATTGACTAAATCATTGTTTTGTTTCAATTGATAACTAATCTAATCATCGTTTTTCTTTGGATTATCAGAATTAGACAATGAATAATATCAAATTACCATAGATTACGAATTTATCACTATTATAAAAATAAACAAAAAATAAAAAAAACAAAAAACAAATCAAGTAAATGTACCAATAATTCAGTAGTGATTATTTATTCACAAATAGTGATGCTGGGGGAAGGAGTAGATGGTTACAAATTATAATAAACTATACATAAATTATATTGTATATTTATTCATTTACAAAGCTAAATCAAAGTCAAATGTTAATTCTTTCTTTTTTTTGTGTGTGTATGTTTTATTTTCAATAATGAATAGTACTTTAATAAATGAAATACTCATCCACGATGAGCGCACTGCTGAGGAGTCCAATACCAGGACAAAACGGCCGTCCAGTGCTTCCAGGTTTTCAATGGTGGTCTAGCTTCAACTGGCTCATGATTTCAACCTGTGAAATTTCTTAAACTCCCCACAAAACCCATTCTAAAAATGAAATACTCTTATTTTGTATATTTGTTATCAAAGAGATGAATTATATATAGATTATAGTGAATGATTCATATGGAAACATATTCATAATGAAATTAAACGAAAGTAGATCTCAGAATAGTAATATTTCTCAAGGTTACTTACTTACTTAATTACGCCTGTTACTCCTCGTGAAGGAGCTTAGGCCGCTCGCCAACATTCTCCATCCAACCCTGTTCTGGGCAATCTTTTCCAGCTCTTTCCAGTTGTTATTTATCTTTTTCATAACTGCTTCTATTCCCAGACGTCATGTGTTCTTTGACCTTCCTCTTTTCCACTTCCCTTCAGCATTCCAAGTTTGGGCTTGCCTCGTGATGGAGTTTGGTGATTTTCGTAATGTATGTCCTGTTCATTCCCATCGTCTTCCTAATTTCCTCTTCTCAAGGTTACTACAAATATTGAAAAAGAAGAATGTATTTGTAAAATCTCAGTGAATGAATTTGAAGTAAATTTAACGTTTCACCTAGCAATCTGGTTCAAGGTATTTCAAAGAAATGCAAACATCAAAATTATTGAAATATTAAATAGGTATATGGTTCTCCGGTTCACTGTATACTGAATAGGTCATTCAAACAACGTTAACAATATTTAAAGTAGGCATTTGCATTATTGTGTAAGATATATGTGGTGTGAAACGAGATTCTACAAATACATTCTTTCTCTTTAATATCTCACATCAACTCGGTGCCAAAATAATGTGAAACCATTCTATTAAATTTAGACGAAAGTTCTTATATGTTACTCCAAGCACTTTATAATTAATAATTGAAAAAATGTTGATTAGAAACCTTATCACAATAATCATTTTCTTTCTGAAAAGTTTAACAATTTTTTGTCAGTCTAAGTGATTTTAAATAATTTGATGTAGCCATGACAACTAAGATGGTTTAAGTTCTGATAAAGCTATACCTAGTGAATACTTTTCGA